TCATCAGTACACAAAGAATTTTTGCATTTACTGCATATCTAGAATGTATTCCAGACAAAGAAAAATAGTTTAAGCTATTATATATATTATAGCTATACTTTGTGGTACTAGACATTCCAACTGTGGTATGTTGAGTGAATACAATTACTGCTTTTAGAAATTTTGCCTGTGAGCACTGAATTGTTCTTTTATATCAGAGATGGGGGAGGCATGTGCCTGTGGTCTATGTGGATGAACAGCAGATGGATTTTCATCATGAATATAGATAGTCTTTATATTCTTTTTCAGAACCTATGTTTATAGATGCACATGTCATCCCAGATGGTACTGATCCAAATGATGCTAAGGTGTACTTCTTCTTCAAAGAAAAACTGACTGACAATAACAGGAGCACAAAACAGATTCATTCCATGATTGCTAGGATATGTCCTGTAAGTATTAATACTTTTCTAATTGGAAGAAAGACTAAGAAATCCAATTCTTTATGTAAATACCTTTTTCTAATAGTTTATCTTCCTATTTTTATTATCTACTATTACAAATAAAGTATCGAGAGGAGACATTTAATATAATGTTAATTCATCAGTTAAAGCAGCAGTCATATGAGATAAGCATACTCTATTTCGGTAAAAATCTTAATTCAAGGAAATATTTTGGCTATGTTTTAAACAAATAAACCGTTTTGACTAATTTTTGTATATCCATTTAATACATTGGTATTTGTTAAGATTATTAAGGAACTGTTTATAAATAGTAAAAATTAAAAAATGCTTTAATAAAATATAATTCTAATTATAAGCAGTAACCAAAATGTTCTTGTGTATAAACAGTATAAATAACAATGTAAGAAAATTTCTGATGTCCTCTCATATTAACGTTTTAGAGACTTGTCCTGACTTATTTATGGCTAGCATCCTTTCTGAAAAGGTATTTCTTGAAGTGTAGCATTTAAAATGTTTATCTTTAAATATTACAATTTTCCATTGACGGTAGAGCTCAGCTATTTCTTTCTCTGTCATTTGGAAGAAGGTAGCAAAGTCAGCAGAAGAAATAAAAGGCTTCTGGACACAGAGAAAAAACAATGTCATCAATAGAGACTATTTGTGAATAATGCCATTTCCTCCGTCCTGGACAGATAAATATGTATAATAAAGCGTCTGATTAGAAATACTGAGAATTAATTGATAATTCAGAGAAATGGAGGGAAAATAGAACTATTGGAGACCATTTAATGTAAAAATATATCTGCTCTCCTGACCACAGTAGAATCTGCAAGACTCACTGTATACAATAATGTATGTTCATATTGAAGATGAGTTACCGAG